AGAGAGAGAGAGAGAGAGAGAGAGAGAGAGAGAGAGAGAGAGAGAGAGAGAGAGAGAGAGAGAGAGAGAATCATATGATATGATTCGATAATGATGAGGACCGTACAATTAGGTCATTTTATGTGATTGACATCTTATTGTCTTTGTTGGTGTGTGCGTGCAGATACTCAGTTGACTGGAATATTGTAAGGAAGGATGCATTTGTTAGTGGTTCCTGGGATGATACAATCAAGGTATGTGCAATTTTTTAGATGGAAACCATATTTCATGTTGTCTGCATTCTTAAAAAGTGAATGCTTCGTGACACTGTATGCTGTGCTGTCTTAGTTGTGTTGATCCGTGTCGAAGATTTCCATGATGTAAGTTGGATCCTGACTGCGCAGGCCATGCACAATCCTGGCCTGTGACTTGAATTCTTGATTGATTGCCCCTTCTGTTGACCTTTTATGCCCAGTTTCCTTTCCCAGGTGGATCACCCCGTGCCCGTTTGGCCTACGCGTACTCGGCTGGGCAGATAGCCTCTAGGTTTGGGAGCAGTTGTGCGATTTGAAGTTTTCAACTTTTCAGCCACCAGTACACGGCCCCCGTCTTGCAGCAAAACATCTTGTCGCCACAAGATCGTTTTTTCAGCTAGGGCCTACTTGAGCACAATGGCTGGCGCCGCCAGCCAAAAAAGAAAAGAAAAGAAGTGCCCTGCTGGCAGTTGCGAAAGTGCGCCGCTGGCGGTTTGGAAAATTAGGCCCGGGTGTACTGGTGGTTTAAACCCTCTAGCCTCTGTTGGGTGTGCGAAAATATCCAAAGGCTGAAGTATCCGCAGACTATATCGGTAAATAAGGATGGAAAATTGAAAATGAACGAGCGCTGCCGATTGGCGAGGCTGTGTACGAAGGTTATTGGCTACGTAAGGACAAACAGAAAGGAAGGAGGAGGTGGAAAAGATGAAGATGATCGCTCATCTTTACTCATCATTCCGTGTGCTTAATGTGCTCTTCTGCCTCCATTGCGCGTGCTGCATGTCTTGCATCTGTCAACAGCTGTGGAGTTTAGACATGCCAAGATCACTGAGAACTTTCAGAGAACATACGTACTGTGTTTATGCGGCAACATGGTGAGTTCCCTTGTCCAACCGCACTTTTAGATTCGCGCTTCCTTTGCATGTCCCATTTGCTTGTCCCATTTGCTTGTCCCATTTGCTTCCCGAATCCCATTAAGATTGTCACTCTACAGCTCACTAAAGGCAATAGGGGAATGCAAAAGAAAGCTACAAGTGTTCCGATGGCTGCTGAGGAACAGTGGGCGAGCGTTTTTTTTGGTGTGTGAAGTTTCACCATGCCACGCATATGATGTAAACAGCTTCAAGCGTTTACTGTGAATGTCAACTGCAGTTGATCTTTTTTGCTTCTCTCTCTCTCTCTCTCTCTCTCTCTCTCTCTCTCTCTCTCTCTCTCTCTCTCTCTCTCTCTCTCTCTCTCTCTCTCTCTCTCTCTC